TTTTTTCCAGATGATGAAGACCGAAAACCAATACTGCCAGGAGACGGCTGATCCAAGATTGAATATGACATTACTTCCACACAAAAAAGTAACCTCCCCCACTGCAACTCAGCTATAGCTGTTTTCCACTTAGGAATTACTCTACTGTACATGGCTACTTTTTCACACTGTATGTTTCAAAGAAAGACACATGTCCTAGAAGAAAGTTTGAAGGCTACTACAGCATGTTATGGGTCTGCCATGCTTAGCAATTTCAACAGCAACTGTTGAAGCTTTTAGTTTTTTTGAATTTGTTCTCTCTCTCTTATGTGTGTGGGGGAAACTTCACAAATTTTTCTGAAAGCCAAACATATTTTGGAAAGTCTTGAGCTTCCATTTCTGTGCATTAGACATAAAATATCAAGACTAGCTAGAATGAAAGACGGATATCCAACAGGATCAACCAAGCTGTTTCTATTGTACTTACTGATTTTTCAGATGATAGCTTAAAAACTTGGTCCCTATCTGGTTTGCATGGACATAACAACTCATGCAGTATTTTTAATGAAAGCAGTTTATCCCAGGGTCATACAACAGAATACACCCAAAAAGGTGACAGCACTATAAATGAATATTCTTTCCCTGCCTGTATTTCATGTGCAGCATATTGCTTATTGTCTAAACAGCTGACGACTTTCACATTAGTTTAGTGAACTTTTTGATATCCTTCAGAACTCACAATGTGAGTGAAGGAAGTTTGTCCTCTTCCTTGAAATGAATCTGTTTATGTACAAGGAACTTTGCTACTTCCACTTGGACTTTTGTACATATTGTAGTAAGCAGCATTCATGAGCAACCTGATCTCATAATGGTCTTCTGCTTGCTTGTTCAAAAGCATAGGGGAGTGTGGGGGCAGCAAGGGAATCAACATGTGAAAAATAAACCAATGTTACTAAAGTAACTGAAACTGTATGAAGACAACAAGTAAATGTCTATTTTTCTATTGCAGTAACTGAGAAGTCAGTAAACCAATGGATTTCATCTTAACAATGTAATACCTGCTGTTTCAGCCTTTTTGGAAGATATTTCATATTTTAAAAATGCTTTTCCAAGACTAAGGCTTCTGACTAAAGTCTCTAACCTGTTAATCGCACCTTAAAAAGTAACCTGACCACATATTCAAGTCAATTTATGGGGTAATAATACAGTGAACAAGCCCCTAAATTATTCCACATACGTGTAACAACTTTGTGACTCCTGTATCACACCTTAAACTGAACATGTGCTAGGTTGGAGCTGGCCCATTATGGATCCCAAAGCTCAGCTGAGTTCAGCATCCAGCATGGAACAACCCCAGGGCCCAGGACACAATGGTCCCCTACTTCATCGGGCTGGGGGCAGAAACAATTCCTTGACCCCAAACTGTCCCCTGACCCCCAGAGGCAGACTGGGGTTTGGCAAGCATCCCCTTGATGTCAGGTCCACTGCAGCCCAGACTTTTAAAAATCACATCTTCAGCTGGACTGCACACATAGTTTACTGACATTCCCAGCACCTGGGGACCCTGGGATCAAGAGCTTCTCCCTGATTTTAAGGTCCCCATGTACCAAGGATGTGGTGGGACTCCACCTATGACTGGGCCACACGTACAGATGGCTATACCCAGTACAGGAGAGATTGTGTGGAAAAAAGGGGCGGGGGTGTAGCTCTCTATGTCAAGGAAAGCTACACATCCTTGCAAGCTGACACTGGCACCCAGGGAGGATAACTGGAGACCCTCTGGGTTAAAATACAAAGGGAACATGGAACAGGGGACACAATAGTAGGAGTCTACTACAGACCTCCTATTCAGGAACAAGAGCTTGACCAGGAATTCACCAGGGAACTAGCTGAGGCTGCACACTCTCAGTGCATGGTTGTTATGGGAGACTTCAACTACCCGTACATCTCATGGGAAGAGCACTCGGCCAAATCTGAACAGTCTCAAAGCTTCCTCAGGTGCGTGGACGAGCTCCATCTGACTCAAAAAGTCTATGCGCCAACAAGAGGTAAAGCGCTGTTGGACCTGGTACTGGCCAAAGGGGATGATGTAGTCAGTGACCTAAGAACTGAAGGAAAGCTGGGAGACAATGACCACAAGATGATCACTTTTATTGTCCATCGCAAAGCTGGCAAGTCAGTCAGCAATGCAGAAGTCCTCAACTTTAGAAAAGCTGACTTTAATAAACTTAGGAGGCTTGTTATCGAGGCCCTAAGGGAACATGACATGGAGGGGAGTCCAAGATTAGTTGCTGCTCCTTAAGGGAGCGATCCTGAAAGCACAAGGGATGTCCATCCCATCTCAGAGGAAAGGTAGCAAAAAGGCACAGCAACCCCCTTGACTCAGCAGGGAACTCATGAACTTCCTGCATCCAAAAAGAGAGGCTTATAAAGGATGGAAGTCTGGAATAACCACTAAGATGGAGTATTCAGCACTGGTCTGGACCTGTAGGGAGTGAATCTGGAAAACCAAGGTTGAAACTCCAACTGGCTACAGGTATCAAGGACAATAAAAAATCCTCTCTCAGATATGTGGGGAGTTGGAAGAAAAGCAAGGGTAACATTGGACCCCTGCTAAATCAAATGGGACAACTGACAACCCACACCCAAGAAAAGGCCAACCTGCTTAATGGGTATTTTGAATTGGTTTTTCACCAGCCCAATGGGACCGCCCTGCCTAACATGATGCGGGACAGCAAGCGTGAGGGTGAATTTATACTCAACATCAGTGTAGACCTTGTAAAGGAACACCTTGAGAAGCTGAACACCTTCAAGTCACCTGGTCCTGACAGTTCACACCCCAGGGTACTTAAGGAGCTGGCAGGCATCATAGTCCAGCCACTGGCACAGATCTTCAAGAACTCATGACGCTCAGGTGAAGTACCTGAAAATTGGAAGAAGGCCAATGTGATGTCTATCTTCGAGAAAGGGAAGAAAGTAGATCAGGGAACTACAGGCCAATCAGCTTGACCTCAATCCCTAGAAAGATTTTGGAAAAAATTATCAAAGAGACCATTCTTGACAAACTGGCTGATGGCAACATCCTGAGGGACAGCCAGCATCCATTTGTTGCAGGTAAGTCTTGCCTGACCAATCTCATCTCCTTCTATGACCAGGTGATATGTCACCTGGACAAGGGAGAAGAGATTGATATCATATATCTGGACTTTTAAAAAGCCTTTGATCTGGTGTTCCATGATCTCCTCATGCAAAAATTAGCCAGCGGCAGCCTCGGATACATCACAGTCCGACAGCTGGGGAATTGGCTCCAAAGTCAGACCCAGAGAGTAGTGATTGATGGAAGTGAATCATCATGGTGTTTTGTGACCAGTGGTGTACCCCACAGCTCTGTCCTTGGACCTATACTCTTTAATATCTTTATTATCAATGGGGACATTGGTGTCAGAAGCAGACTGGTAAAGTTCACCTATTACACCAAACTTTGGGGTGAAGCGTCCACACCTGAAGATAGGCTGGTGATCCAGGCTGACCCTGACAGGCTTAAAATGTGGGCAGATAAAAACCTGATAACATTCAATACAGAAAAATGCAAGGTACTCCACCTCAGGGGGAAAAAACCCCACATCACATTTACAGGTTCAGCAGTGCTATGTTCGCTAGCACCATGGCCAAAAGGGACTTGGTGGTCATGATTGACCACAAGACGAAAATAAGCCAACAATTCAATGTTGCAGCTGGTAAAGTAAACAAAACTCTGGCTTGCAACCATAGATGCTTCTCAATAAAATCTCAGGATGTCATCCTCCCACTGTACTCCGCCTTGGTGAGGCCACAGCTGGAGTACTGAATCTAATTCTGGGCTCCACAATTTCAAAAGGATGTGCAAAAGTTTGAGAGAGTCCAGAGGAGAGCCATGAGCATGATCAGAGGACAAGAGAACAGGCCTTATGATGAGAGGCTGAGAGCCATGGGACTTCTCAGCCTGGAAAAGCACAGGCTCAGGGGGGAACTGGTGGCTGACTATAAGTATATAAGGGGTGTACATCAGGATCTGGGGGAATGCATGTTCACCAGAGCACCCCAAGGGATAACAAGATCAAATGATCACAAACTCCTCCAAGACCGTTTTTGGCTGGACATAAGGAAAAACTTTTTTACTATCTGAGTCCCCAAGGCCTGAAATAGACTCCCTCCACAGGTGGTGCAAGCACCTACTCTGGACTCTTCTAAGAAACATTTGGACTCCCATATTGCTGGGATCCTTTGACCCTGACTGGAGCAGGGGGCTGCACTCAATGATCTTCTGAGGTCCCTTTTAGCCCTAATGTCTATGAAATCTATGAAAACCACATGTGCAACCCAGCTACACATGCAATTTTTAAAGATTCAAGCACGAGGGGACCATGGGATCAAAGAGAGGCAGCCAATCCTATGGTCCCCATGATCCAGGGCCTGTAAAAACCATGTGTGCAGCCCAGTTTGGGTTCTGAAAATGATCTCATTGTCAGTTGGGGTCAAGGATCACACAAGTTGGGCACCCAGCTTTCACCTTGCTGATGCAACGGGAGTCTAGGATCATGATCCCAGGCTCCCTCACACTGGCAAGTAAGGCACAATTGGGATTTAATCCATAATCCCAAAATTGTGTGTCCTGCCATGCCTGTGTGGAGGGCCTGTGTGGCATTGCAGGAGACATGATTGTTAGGATTGCAGATCAGAGCCTATCATGCCTTTAAGTGAATGTCTGTCAGTGGCCTAAAGTATAGCAACATCAACACATTTCTCAAACCAACCGCCCCCCCCCCCCCAAAATAACAAAAAACACACAAACCTTTTATCTCACCCATTCTAATTTCTTATTCCACTTCAAATCTGAAACCCTGGTGTATCTCTCTCTTGCTTGAGTCTACCTTCTTCATTATATACTGGGCATTATTCTATCTGACTTACGTTACGGAGGCCATCTACAGCTACTGAATGATATCTACACATAAGAACAACACACATTGGCACATAACTAGAAAACAGATACACACCCTGAATGAATGTTGCCCAAACATGCAATTCTCTTTTCCAAAAATAAGTTTTGCAGGTAATGAAAACTCCAGTGAGCTCTGAAAAATGTATGCACAGAGGAAAGCTAAATTCATGTTAATTCCCTGATAATGATCAACATTCTATGGTATCTGGTATCATGATCATATTTCATCCACACGATGTGAAAAGCATATATACACCAACAATTGAACTTAGCCAATATTCACTGTGAAAAAAAAATTAGGAAATTCAGGTTCCAGCATATGAGCAGTTTGTGAACTGATATTTTAAGGTTTTTGCAATGTATCACGTCACCTTCTTTAAATACCATTACAGGTTTCCCTTGATTTATCCAGTACATGCGTTCCTGGAGAATGCCACATAAATCAAATTTGCATAAAGAGAACCCACTTTATAATGTAAGAAATAGGGATAGGTTCCCATGTCAGCTGCTCCTGGGGCCGCTCCAGCATGGACTGCGGTGAGTGCGGACAAGTGGAGCGCCAGGCGGTGCAGGGTGCAGCACTCACCCCAGCCCTGGTGATCGTTTTACAGATCTTCCATAACATTGCCATTTGAATTCTTAGAGGGGCAGATTCAGATGGGGTGTAGTGGCATGCCTGAAACTTTAGGGACCTTTTTAAATCCCTAAAGCAGGTGAAAATCTCCCCTCCCTTGCACTGGTGCTCAGAGGCACCTCCTCTCCCCTCCTCCCACACCTGCTGCTGCTGCTTTCCCCACTGTCCTGGGACCATGGGAAACATTAGAGCCACTTCTGCCTACCACAACAGGGACTGTGAACAGTGACATCAGCATGGTGGAAGAGTACATTCTCCCTCTCTGCTCTGTCTCCCAGGAACAGAAGCTGATATGGGAAAGGAGAAGCCTCCATCCCCCTGCCCATCTCCACTGGTGCTGTACCATCCCCATCTCCAGCTGAGCCCAGCCCCTGTATAGCCCATCTGAGAATGGGTAGCAGCTCTTGAGCTTCCGCCATCTTCAGAACAATGGAGATGCAGCAGCAGCAGGTGGGGCAAGGGTTGAAGGGAAGGGGAAGAGATGAAGGGATGAGGAGGCTGGGAGCAGAAGGGTGCGGTCACCCCTGCAGTGCAGGGTGCTGCTCCTGCCCCCACTTTGGGAAATCCTGGATCCACCCCAAATCCTCATGACCATAAATTAAAAAACACAAACCAGAAAAAAACACCCATGGGACAAAGTACAAGGATCAGAAGGCAGACACATATCAGCCTTATTGGTTCTCTCTCATAATAGCTGAGTTTGCTTTAAGCTCATGGATGGACTTTATCTCCCTCTCCAGTCTGGAACTGGTGACAACTCATCAGTAAGCAACTTGAGGCCCTGTAAGTTTTGATGTAGGGAAATTTTGAGTGGAGTGCTGGAACCACTTGACTTGACCATGCTACAGCTGTATCTGTTCTGTGAAACTTAATTTCTTTTCGCAAGGAGTCAGGTTTCCTGGCGCAAGGTTCACTGGCAGCAATATGAAGGAGTTATCTGGAGGTACTATTTAGGTAACTTTTTATTCAGCTTCAAAGAAACAGAATTCAAACAGAGTAAAGTGTAGTTGTAAAACCACTAACTGGACTTTACCATCAAAATGAACATTTCCTGAGTTGAAACTGGCATCCCATTATTATTTCCAAAATGTCTCTAGATGAAAGGCATCAGTACAGTTACTAAAAAAAAATTTCACTTATTGAAAGCTGAGATCTAATATTGATGACTTCAAGGACACATACTTATCTAAATTGATGTTTTTATTCCAAGCAACCACTATGGAGCACCTAGGAGTATTTCCCCTATTACCTCCCATACCTGGGTATTCAGATGCTTGGGTGGACAGCCAGACCACATGAAATACTATATATATTTTTGATTTTCCAAATTTTACAGTTTTTTAGAATGATCAATTTTGCTACAACATCTACATCCCAGGGGATAATTTACAGTGTCTGAAAGTTTTCTTGAAACTGGAAATAAAAGATTGTAGGCACATTTTATTTAAAAGTTTTCACTTGATACCTCTTGCATCTCTTTTGCAATCTAAATGTTGCCATTTTGCTAAATCTGGTCTCATACTAGGAGACAAGTTTTTAGGAATAAGGTGAAAAATAAGAAAATCTAAACTGGAATGCTTAAATACAATTTTTCTTAAATGTTGATCGGGGGTTTTAGGGGGAACTTCTTGGTTTTTTAGTTTATTTTTAAATAAGAGCTCAGTTGCTACAACACCCTCTCTTTTTGTTTGTCTAGGAAGGCAAAAAACTTCTGACACATTTCAAAAGTGTGCATGGAGTTAAAGCTTGCATTATGAGTTGAGTACATTTTCCCGACATTGCCTAATAAAAGGCAGTTGCTTGTATTTCTTTGTTCTCAACAATCCCCATCACACAGTAACACTGATATTAGCAATATTTTAAAGACTCAGGCAACATGCTACAGATTAATGTGGAAAAGCAATGTAGTGATGAGTTTTGGTTCTCTTGATCTCTGCTTAGAAGGGGCATTTATACACGTGTTTATACACTGTGGGGGGGGCACTTTAATTAGAGCAGCTCCAAGAGTAGGCCCAATTAAGCATTCGGAGCATCGTGTGTATCAGTGTACCCATGCTGAAACATGGCAGCAGGGGCACTTTAACAAAAGCCCATCAAACAAGCTTTAGTTAAAGCACCCCCACCACCATTTTTCAGCATGGGGACACTGATACATGTGGCACTGGAGTCTGCTGGAGTGTGGTAATCACCACGCTCCAGCAGATTCAACTAATCGAGACAGTTCCAGCATGCTGGAATTACAGTATGGCACAGCAGCCTCAATCCAAGTGTATAGGTGCCCATGATGGGTAGCAAACAGCAGAGCATAATGTTTATTGCCTGCTCAGGGACTTTATTGCAAGTCCTCACATTATTAACATACCCTGTCACCATATTATATCATATTTCCATGCGTTTGTATTGAATAACTCATCTGTTAATACAGCGATGGTTTCCAACCTTTTTTTTTTTACCATGGCCCGGCGGGAGCAGGATGGGGTGCACAGAGCTGGCCGCCTCCCTTCCAGGTCTCCCCCACCACCCCGCTTTAACCCTGGAAGCTCAGATGTGACCCCAGAAGCCGCTGAGCCGGGCAGACAGATGGGGCTCCGAGCAGGGGCCTTGTGCCATGACCCCACAGTCAACCTGCTGCGGCCTGGTACCAGGCTATGGCCCAGTGGTTGGGAACCTCTGCATTACAGTCAGTATTGGAAGTCAACTCCAGAGATAATGGGCTACATTATTTTACTCTAACGATTTCCTGAGAAACACTTTTAGAACTAGTTATGCTCAATCAATGGTAGGACTGGCATTCATTCCAGACTACTGTTGTATGAAGTTGTTAAGAATCTCTAACATCGATCAAGGATGAATTAGGACCATTATTTACAGTAGGGTGCTGTTTTCAGCGTCACTCCAGCACCGCCTACATGGACAACAAGGAACTCAAACTGCACTTTCAAAAATGGAGACAGGCAAAATCAATTATCATTTTTTTTGAACAGTAGACCTAACCTCAGTAATGCCTCTATTAACCCATTTGAGGCAACAGAACTAATACTGCATACCTGCATAAATCTGAAGTTTATGTATTTATAGTTTATGAAAAGACAATGTCATCACCAACTTTGACTGGTATAACTCAGGCAACAGATTTCCTTGCCTCATTTTTAATTTGAACTAGCTTATATTTAACCTTGGTATACTGCAATTATACTGTGAGTCTATAATAATATTTGTGAAGTTCTTTGAGACCCCCAGATGAACAGCCCCATATAAATTTAAGGCAAAATAGTCTAATTTTTGCCCTGTTAATTGGCATCTAAGAATTTTAAAGCTGCTTTAGAATGCTTTTTGTAGCCCATTTCTTATACCTGTCCCTTATGCATTAATGAGAATTTGAATATTTTTTCATATGTATAATACAAAACACATTTTGGAGTACAAACTGAAATATGTATGAATGCAAAGCTATACCCAATGAGCTCACCAATCAGAACACCCACTCTGGAAAAACTGACTTAAGTGACTCGTCCAGTGTCCCATGCTGTAGCTATTAACTGATGAAGCTTTAAGTGGAATCCTTACTCTCGGTCTTGTGCTCTAACCCAGACATCATTAAACTTTTTAAGTGTTGCCCATATCCAAACAGTGATTGTCTGTGTACCTCCCTCTCATTTGTAATACCCAAATCATTGAACTAAAAATCACAGACCTGCAGGTTCAAACAGATTCCAGAGGGGCTGATTTAGTTGAAGTGTTAGGAAGTTCTGGTTTTGAAATCCTGTTGTCCCCCAACTGTCTCCCTCTCCCACCCCACTGAATTTCCAAGGGTCCATCCTGTAAGAATAAGCAGGAGTGTTAGGTGGCTATGCTTTTGGTACAATATTTAAATGCTGGTGCATCTAAGGTCCTAGAATGAGTAGGTAATATTAAGACAGAGATAAAAAGTGAAATACTGATGTACTTCCATGCCCAAAAGTGTAAGTTACTGGTATGTAATGTTTAAGCAACAACAGAATTAAGAGTTACTACTTCACTATCCTGCTACACAAGTAAAGGGAGCTTCAGAGGAAAAATGATTCACATTAAGTAGTTTAACAGTTATGCACTTATTTTTCATGAACCCAGAAGAATGTTTTTCATGTGATATATTGTGGAGCTTTAAAATTCCTCCCCTTATACAGAGCAAAAGCTTAGCAAACCAGAAAAAACCTACTTCAGCAGCTTTACATGCGGTACAAATCCAAAATGATGTAGTGTGCTTGTCAGAAAGGAAATATCACCTTTCTCTTGTTATAATTAAACCCTTAAATTGAGAAAAATAACACATATGAAAACTGAGGTCATCCTATAAAAAGCACAGTTGTACTTTTTGTTGCATGTTCTTTTCCTTAAGAGACCACCCAAGAAAGGAGGAAGTTATGGCCTCCCTTCAGAGAGTTCAAAGTGTACACAAAAAATGGTGAGGAAGAAGACCTACCAAGGAAACAGAGTAGGAAAATGTCCCATTAAGAAGACAGTGGCTAACAGGTCAAGTTCAATGCCATCGCACAGCAAACAGAACTGTAAAACATCATCCAGCCTACTGGGGGCATTTTCCCTAGCTCCTTCATTTGTGCATTCAAATAAGTGATTGAGCAGCAGGTGAGGATAACAAAAAACAAGATACAAAAAGCTGTAAAAGGCAGGGCACATGCATGAGGGCAAGTTTGGCTCCTGATGGCGCACACAGATTCCTATGCTGATTGATAAAGAATAATGTATGTAGACAGGTCAGAAGTTCTGTTGCTGAATAGCATCCACCACTGCTCAGCCACTAGCGTTCGTATGCATCACCATGTATAATCACCACATCACCATCCCCACTGCAAGCAGCCATGTTTGCTGAGCATGTAGTAAACCTTAGGAAGGCATCCCGTAGTCCTTACAATCTCTTCCAAGCCAGTGCACTGTGGGTTGGAAGTGAACAACACAATGCATATTCAAGCCTCTTTCATGGAGTTGCGGGTAATCAGCTTACAATACATTTAAGTCCATCTACCTTGGTTCTATTGGGTTTGAACCTGCCATTTTTTAAATGACTGTGGTCCACCAAGGTGTCCCTTCCCCACTGCTTCTGGTCTGAATTCCAAACTGCTTTCTGAAATGATTGAGTCCTTCTCTATTACAAACTATCTCTATTACCATTCATATGAGTCTGTGTCTCCTGAGACATAGGAAAAAGCAATGGCTGCACTGTGCAGCCCCCCCAGGAAGAATAGGCAGAGGACAAAACATAGGCTGCAGCAGTGAATGGCAAGGAGCTGCTGGCTTATGAAGGCACCATTCACGCACCTTTCAGTGGCAATCCTGAGTATAAGAAGTTAACACATATTGGTTAACACACATGCAAGAACACTTTTCTTGCCATATAACTGGTTCCCAAATGACTGGTAACAGCCTAGGAACATCAGCTTCCATGAGGCAATTTCATGTTCATGGATACAATGCTGAAAGTTAGGAGTAACAGAGAAAGGAAGACATGCATAGGTAGC